TTGAATGCTAGATAAAGACACAAAACTGCCATACATATTCCATATAATAATGGAGTTGATATGAAAACATGCGACCAGACCATTAGCTATTCTCACATATTTACATAAGATGACTAAATGTATATATCAAATGGTAAATAGAGAACTTTTATCAAGATGTTTAATCAGATGTAAAATAATACAGATGTTATTAAAGTCTGTGTGATCACCTTGATGCATGAAACAGCAAGATATCTATTGCAAGTATACCTGTCAATCCATATATGACTAAGACGTGAGTTGTGAACATGCCTCCTAAATTGTACTGAAATGTTAAAAATGTATCATGCATTGTGGGATGCAAGGAATTTATGACATCAAGGGCATTTCTCCTGATTTCTTAGCAATACCGATTTTCTTCAGATTTATTTGAGTAATCCCGATTTCTCCTGATTTATGTAATTGTTGATATAGTTGTTGTCACCTTGATTTTCTGAGAAAATGCATGGGCTTTTCTTATTCTGCACAAAAAAGGATTTTTCATCAAATTAATTTTTTCCCTTTGATAAACAAAATTATGAATCAAAATTTATACAATGTATTCATTTTGTGTGTGTAAATATTTTCGAAACAAATGCGTGATATATAAACATATTTTATACCAAATGCGTGACATAAACGGCAATCGCGTACAAAGACCGAACAAAATGCGTTCGCTTTTTTTCGCAGTTCGGTATTTTACCGTGTCGGCATTTCACAAAAAAAGATTTTTTAAAATATCAACAAAATGCGTGATTTGCGTGATATTTGATCATACACGCTAAATTGATGCGTAATTTCTATCTTTCCAGCAAATGCGTGACAATCACGCCTAATGCGTGAGGGTTGACAGGGCAGCCTACATTATCTCAAATACTCAGTATAAACAACCAAGTTTGATTGCCCAATTTTTTAATCTATCACCCAGGGGATACAAAAAGTAAACCGTTACCATTAGACTTGGTTATTTAACATGTTATGTAAAATATATAACAAAGTAATAACTTGTGAGTGACCCATCATACTTTTACACAATGCAATGCAAAACATGATGAGAAACTCTACTTTGTAAACAAAGGCTTGTTTTAGTATTAAAAACTGGGATTACTGGATCTGTACTATTACTGAGCCTTAACTTGGATTAGTAGAGTTGTGTGTAAACTGTAGCTTATACACAGTAGGATGAAATGTAGACACATGTTGACCTATTTAGAGTATCCCATTACCAGATTACAGAAGTTCAGATTTTCAAGATAAATTCAAGTCAAAGTTGCAACTTAAACTTATTTGTGGAGGCTTTTAGATCTTACAGTTGATTTAAACAGGCTGATCAGAGTAGAATCAGATGTCATAAAGTACTGTTTAGCATTGTCAGTATGGTACTCAATTATGATAGTCAGTTATTAAAAATATATATAAATCCAATTGATAAATTTGAATGTTAACTTTTAAATTTGAAATTTCTATCTGTTTGTAAGGTCATGGTATCTTAAATAAACGGCACCCTTTATTTCCAATACTAATGTACTAAAAGTGTACATGAGGTGAACATTACATTCAGAAAAGAAAATGGTTACCCATGACATTACTCAATACCCTTGAAAAATGACTGTACGCTAAGCACATTCTTGGAAGTAGAAATCTGTTTAAATTATGCCTTCAGTTTTTCAAATACGACTTCTGCTATAAAGTGCCCAAAATGATAAGAACTTATTCTTAAAAGGCTTATTTCAATTCAATGAGAATTGATGTATGAAGTTCAGAACTAATTTTTTAAATAACTACACTATGTATGTTTTACAGTAATCTCACATATCCCCAAAAATTATTGGTGTTTGTATAATTGCTGGATTTACAACTATAGTTCATGAAAACAATTATTAGCTATCTGCAAGCATACTTCGGACAAAAAATATGATAAAATAAGTGGGTTATTTTGAAATATACAACGTTTGCATGATTTATAATTAATGAAGAGTAGTAGCATTAAACCCAACTGTTTGTTTTGAGACAGGTACTTTCTATAGTAGTATCATATAACCAAGTCATATATTTACTGTGATATCTCTCATTTGGATGAATCACATACTATCAAATACATGTGTACAAGTAAAATGAGTTACCTGATGATTTGCCTAATACAAGATGAATGCAGTATGGTATGGTATGGTAAAATATGTCACGTATTCTACGAATTTTTTTTAGCCGATTCTCTTAGGTATAAGATCTATTAAAAAAGGCGCAACGCCACCAACGTGCAAAAGTCTGCTGCAAATGTATGCTGATCAAGAACACATTTGATGATTAAAAGTATAGAAAATTCCCCCTCCCTCATTGCATGTCCTACGACCATTGCACAATGTGTAGACATTAAAATAAAATAAAAATGATTTGGCACCCCGTGATTCATATCCATATTGACTTATGAGAAATAATCAAAATCTCATGAGTTCTCCCTCCTTCATTACTTTATCATTATCACAAACAATGACTTATCAATTTTGGGTTGGGTCAGTAAACTCAGGAATATAATTCTGTATTCTTGTAAAATGCTTTATATACCTGACCCACACGCTTTTTATGGCCCGACCCCAAAAATATTTGACCTGCATTTCAATATAGTCAGAAAATGAAGTAATACAGTAATGAGTAGAGGTGTCACAAATCTATATTGCTTCATTTGTGTTAACAAACAAAATCTCATAAGTCCCCCCTCCCTCATTCATGTATTACTGCATTGACCGGACTACCATTGTACATTGCCTTGACATTGAAATCTGTAGAAACTTGTTTTTTGCCCTTCAGCCATCACTTTACTTTGGAATCAAAACCTTTTTAAACCATGCATGTGTGGTCAATCAGTTTGCTTAATTTAGGAAAATTATAGACACAATGCCGTAAATAAGTGGTCATCTGATTATTACTTTACTCATTTTATGTTAATTAGAACACTCAGTGATATGGCATCTAATATGTCCAGTTTGTCAAATCATAAGAGTATGTGTAATTATGCGTAGTCCACCTGAGCTTGTTCTTAAATCATTACCATGATACCGAAGATAAAAAAACCTTTTATGAATGATTAGTACAAAAACTTCAGGGCAACTAAAATCAAACATTGTTGCCCTCTATTTAAAAGTCATGGAACTAAAGTTTTTCATGGTGTTGACACTGTACTATGGTAGAAATATTTCTATGCCTTGACATTCCACAACAGTAGACAAACAACACTAATTTAAACACATTGACAAGGTCAAGGGAAAACATTGGTTGCAAGACTATGGAAGAACAACACCTTGAACAAGGTGTTGATCATTGGTAGTACTACTATCGAAAACCCTTGATCTTTTTGTGAGGGAAAGGACCTTATACACCCGCCATTGGGATCTCCCCATGGGAAAAAAATAATTCATCTGATTTTTCAAAATTAGTATTCTGCTTCAATTATTACATTTATATGCACACTAGTATCTTGTTGACCTATATTCAGCACTGTATTGATGTATAGGCCACTTATTAGGGTCATAATTCAATCATGAAGTGTAGAGGTATAGATTCCAAACCAGGAAGTATTTTTGTGTCTGTCAAAATCCATTTACATCCTACGCATCCCTGCATCTTATCCAAATATGTTACTACATAATGAAATATAATAGTATAATCTTTGGTTTTACAAACTTGTATGATATTTAATAAGTGTAAAAGTTGTTTTTGGAGCATTTTTCTATAGCCATTTTGTAGGGAAAAAAATGATGAAAAAATGTACAATCTTTTAATTTTAAGTATGACCTGAATCGATTGCAAACTTCATATTGGCACATTTGATGAGATAAACCATTTGTGTCGTATTGTGAAATCATTAAGTTTGCAATCGATACAGGTCATAGTGTATTTTTGGTATTTCTGTGATAATCAATTGAAACCAATGGCCTCTATTGGGATCTGCTGATATCCTCATGTTAAGTCAATGGTGCACAGCCCCATGTAAGTCAATACAACCTTACTGAACGAAATGATCCCTATCTCAGCTTATGTGTGTCCGAGCACATTAATATTTTCCAAAGTATTATATGACATTTTATTCTTCATGTTACACCTACGAATGATTCATTTTGACCATAGGGATATTTGCCAATAATTGCACCTTGTCCTTTTACCTACCAGATATTTAAAATATTTTAACAAGATACTATACAGTGTTCTCCACAGGATTTTTTTTCTTAAGTTGGTGCAAAATTCTCATTTTCACAATTCACGCTAACGTTAGTCAAAATATCCCAATTTTTCATAATTTTCTCATTTTCAAGTGGGTGCCAATGGATTTTCAGGTGGTTGCAAGCCTGTTTTTAAAATCTCAGTTGGGTGCTTGCTTACATGCTGGGGTGGTCACTGGTATATCTAGTAACTCTAATTAATAAAAGAAATAAACAACAATAAAGTGTAGGTTTTCAAGAGGTTAAAAATGTCAGAATTTCATCTTCTGCAATAACCCAGATGCGAGTAGAAATAATCTTGATTTACGTCATTAAAAATTAAAAATTCAGTCAAACTAATATCATATTTGAAATCTACATGTGAAATTACATCTAGAAATGTGGTTTTAAAAAGTGTTTATCAACTTTGAAAAATAAATTTTCTTTGAAAATGTGACTTCTAGCTCGGGGAGATTCCCCATAGACCCCATGCTATAAAATCACAAAAAATGAAATATCTTTTCTTTTAGTGGACAGATAATATTTTGCTTTACTGGACATATTTTCATTAGTATAAGTATCAGACGCATAAGGGTTATATGAAAATTGAGCCACTTAAATTGATAATATTCAAGTTTAAGGGAACTTTCTCATATACCTGCCATGTTAATTGACCCGAATCAGCCACCTGGTGGTGAAACTGGTAACTACCTACTCGCATTTGGGTAATTCTAACATTATTATCACAACTTCCTACTGTCACTACAATGATGGACTTTTTCACATCTATATATGTCATTATGTACCATTTACATTGTATTGTAAAGTGTTGCTAAGTTGTTTGAAGAAATACACTTAACTAGCAAACAATAAGTAATCAACCTGTCATAATGAATATATTTTGGAGTTTGGGTGCAGGTCAAGTATCAGAGTGTTATTTTATGTGAAACATATAGCGTCAATGCAGGGGAAAAGCCAGCTTTATTTCAATACTGAAAATCACTTGAAAAGTAATTGGATATTTGGTCATATAACTTTAATATTTGATAGGGTGTATTTAATGTTGGATTGAGGAGCTAATCTTTTGCTAGATTTGTTTCACAAAGTACATTGATATTTTGGTCAAGCCCATCAATCTAGTATTAAGGCGAAGGCCACTTGCATTTATTTGATATTGTTGTAATCTTCAAATATTTAAGTAATGAGAGTTAAAGTGAACTCTCAATAGATTTACTGCTGTACAGTCTATTGAAAAACTGGATAAATATACAGTGTATGTCTGGTCAAATATGAATTTTAGAGCTTTTACATAGCAGAAGAATACCATGAGTTTTTAAAAATAAAATATTTTCTACCTTATGAATGAACAATTTAATGTCAAAGAAAACATCAGAACACAACACAGAAAGCACAGAGAGTGAGTGACATCAAAATGGTGTCACTTAGGATGCAATTTTTTTTAATGTGCTAAAACAACATTTAAGTGGCACATTTAATTATTAAAATGGTGTGTCCTTTGTTCAATCTTCTCAACAGTGTTAAAAAAGATAATGTGTTTTGCTTCAAAAGTGTCATCTGATATAGTCTTGAGAATAATTTGACTGTGATCATTTTGTCCGAGGGTAATATGACTTAGTGATTTTGTAAGAGAGTAATATGACTTGGTGATTTTATCAGAGGGTAATGTGACTTGGTGATTTTGTCAGAGGGTAATATGACTTGGTGATTTTATCAGAGGGTAATGTGACTTGATGATTTTGTCAGAGGGTAATGTGACTTGGTAATTTTATTATTTTTTTGACTTAATGATGCCCTCAGAGACTAGTTTGACTAGATGATGATGTCACAGGATTGTCTGGTGATGTGTTAGTCACTATTAATCAGCACATTTTGTGTTCCTTGGTGGAGGACAATGTACTTTGCTGCAGTCATCTGTGAATGCTTTTGTGGTTCTGTTAAACACCTTTCCTACCTGGCTTCCTTCTGGCCCCTCGTGTATTATCCCCTCTTGGAATGTATAGCTTGGACGCGGGCGACTGGAGCTCTGAAGAAAGCTTCCCAAAATTGCTTCTACTAACAACTGTGATGTCACAATTAGCGAGAATCGTAAAATCTAAGATTGTTTTCGCCATCCCTTCACAAGCCTTGCTTTTGTTTTCAAACCTATCAACATGTGTAATTTCTCCTTCCGTGTCCATAATAATTTCGGGAAAAAGTTTCTTTGAGTTGTCTCGTATTTCCTGCGAGTCTGTTGTAATGAAAAGATTATATTTTGATGAGATGTTATATAAAGAAAGGAAATCCCAAAGAACTGGTAACCATTCTTCTTTGTTTCTTTTTTTCTTCGTTGTTTCATGTGGTATGGATGGGTTATAGCCGATCCTTATCTGGGCACACACCAGTTTCATACCAGGCTTCGACCGAATCCTACTTAGGAATTCATGGAGCCGTGACAACAAATTCGGTTTAAGCTTGAACAAGTGATTATAGACCTTCGAGATTATCTTTTTTGCGGTAAAATGTGTGATATCTAAACCTATGCTAGTGAGCATTGTTTTATATGGTTCCTCATGGAATCTATGCGTCCATCCTTGATTTGTTCTTATGAGTAGGACAGGTTCAGGAAACTTTTCATCAAAATCTACCTTTGTTGTATTTGTTTTACCGAATATTGCATTACCACATGATGCGTATCCATCTATCATGGATATAGTTTTATTTTTTAGACCAGGCGTAATAGGTCCATGCCAGGGCTCCTGGTTTTCTTCAAGTTGATTATATAAATCACAAGGTACTGTTGATATGATCCGGTATTTTCTCTTCAGTGCCAATGCAAGAAGAAATGTACTTTGGATTCCTTTTAGTCGGTCTCCTAAACCGCCACACAGATAATCCCCAGTGCACAAAAATACGATATATTTGTCAGAGTCAACTTTACGAGCCTGAGAGATCTCATTACTACTCCTAATAGTTTTACCTGGTATGGTGGTTACAGATTTTGTAGCTGGTATTGTTTTAGGGATTGTAGTCGCTAGTTTCACGGAAGTCAATTTTGTGTTATTTTGTGTTGTATTAGTTGGTACTTCAATAGCATCTATTGATTTATTTTTTGAAATAGGCTGATCTAATTTTCCCAGTTTTGCTTGAATCGCAAACGTTTGATTTTCATCCTGTTTTGTGTATCTTGTAAGCTGGGGTCTTGTCGTATCCGCAGACAAGTCTTTATGTGTGGATTTCTTTATTGATTCTAAAGTTTGAGTAAGTCCAGTGTATTCTGACTGAATTAGAAGTCCAACTATAGACAATATAATGATACCAATGATCAAAAAACATCTTTTAGGCTTAAACATCATTATAAATATCTCTTTTGATGTTGATTAGTAAGTGAATTTTTTTTTATTCTTCTTTTATTCAATTTTAGTACATACAAAATACACACGTAGTGACTGCCAAAGTTGAACAACATTTGTGGCTGTTTGGTAGTAAGTGAACTTCTCCCCATCTATATTATAAGTGACTTCCTTACTGATCATAAATGAACATGAAATATTACTAGGGGACTGACTCAAAAGGACATGAAATATTACTCAGACTAAATCCACTTTGATATGTTTAGGGGACTGACTCAAAAGAAAAATATAAGAAAATTTCCTTTTTTATAAGTTTTTTAAAAAACAGCGAGGGTTGAATTTGATTATGATCGAATTTGATTTCAATTTGATTTTATGGCAGATCATCAGACAAGAGAATATAAAATGCTGGAAAGAATCTTTTCAGATAGCATGCCTATGATTCCCTAACGAACGATCCATTTTTATGTCACCATCAGAAGTGGTGGCATATTGTTAAAGTCTCCAACTTTTTTGTGTTATGCGTTTTTTGTTTGCGTTATGCGTTTGGTGTTTGGTAGTTGGTGTCTGTAACAAACAGCAGGTTGTGACATTTTGCATGTTAATGCCTTGTTTATTTTCTGATAAATTAAGATATCTGATGTGTGGGAATCAAACCCAGGACCTTCCGCTCCAAAGTCTGATGCCCTATCTGTGAGCCATAATGGCTAGCCACTACAGCTGGGCTGTAATAGTAACTTGCTATAGAGGGTTATTAGTTATTACACCACTATCCAGTGAGCAAAAATAAAAAATTACTGTCATTCAGTAATGGAGATATATACCTTCTTAATCCTTCAAACCCTCAGGCAGAGGAGGGGATTTCTCAAACCTGAGCGATGCAACTCTCATACAATGACAAATGTCATTAACTTGAATCATTTCCCATTAAAATTGATCTCAAAATGGTCGCTGTTGTTTTCTTAAAGTTTGGAAAGCGCCACCAAAATAGCATTACCATAGTTTAGAATTCATGATGTTCAACTGAAACAATTGCCACTTCCATGACTTCCATGATTTCAAATTTTGCTTTACACATTTGCAAACTTGTGCTCGACTGTGATTGTCCATGTGATCGTATCCTGGAAATTTATTATATAGTGTATCGACAGATATGCATAATGTGGATTAATATGTTAATAAGGTGCAAAAATTGCAAGTAATTATGGGTACTCACTTCTGACTCCCTTATACTTCAACATGATAAATTGAAATGTTTTCAACATTTAAGTAAATATAAAACGAAACTTATTTTCTGCTCGATTAAGGAATATAATTATGTAGTGAATCTTTTAATACAAAATTACATATCCTTAAAATGATAATCATAAACACCTTAAAGGGACACACCTTTTTGTCTGTTGTTGACTTGGTATGGATACTATAAGGGATAACAAAGATAAATTAGTTTTTCCAAGACTGATCATAATTGGACACCTAACCAATTTCAATACATCATTATATGTGAAATTCTAATATGATACGTGACGTCACAATAGCGAGAACAATTGATTAACTGGTTTTTATTAGCTCACATGGTGAGCTTTTGCAATCACTCACTTGTCCATCTGTCCGTCCGTCCGTCCGTCCGTCCGTCCGTCCATCAACAATAGTGGCACGTTTTAAAACCTCTGTCGATAGGATTCCTGTTTTAAGTTATTTCTGTTCAACATCAATACAGAAAACCCCCCTATGACTCCTGGTTCAAAAGCTCGCCTATTTTCAAAATGGCCGTCACTTTTGTCTCGCGAAATTCACTTTTAGCCCATTTCCTAGCTAACCTCTGTCGATAGGATTCCTGTTTTAAGTTATTTCTGTTCAACATCAATACAGAAAACCCCCCTATGACTCCTGGTTCAAAAGCTCGCCTATTTTCAAAATGGCCGGCACTTTTGTCTCGCGAAATTCACTTTTGGCCTATTTCCTAGCTTTACAAATAATTTCAGGTGTCCTACATTGTAAAAATCCATGTCAATGTAAAGATTAGATATATGAAATAATTTTGTTACAAAAAAATCAGCGAAAAATTGTATCCATTTTTTTATTTTCAGCCATTTTAGTTAACATTGCTTTTTCTATCTGACTCGCGAAATCCACTTTCTGTCAATAACAGTGGCACGTTTTAAAACCTCTGTCGATAGGATTCCTGTTTTAAGTTATTTCTGTTCAATATGAATTCAGAAAACTCCCCTATGACTCCTGGTTCAAAAGCTCGCCTATTTTCAAAATGGCCGCCATTTTTGTCTCGCGAAATTCACTTTTGACCCATTTCCTAGCTTTACAAATAATTTCAAGTGTCCTACATTGTAGAAATCCATTGCAAAGTAAAGAGTAGATGTATGAAATAATTTTGCTACGAAAAATCAGCGAAAAATTATATCCATTTATTTATTTTCAGCCATTTTAGTTAACATTGATTTGTCCATCTGTCTCGCAAAATTCACTTTTGGACCATTTACCTTAAACCCTCTGTCGATAGGATTCCCATTTTAAGTTATTTTTGTTCAACATCAATACAAAAAACTCTCCTTTGACTCTTGGTTCAAAAGCTCGGCTATTTTTAAAATGGCCGTCACTTTTGTCTCGTGAAATTCACTTTTGACCCATTTCCTAGCTTTACAAATAATTTCAGGTGTCCTACATTGTAAAAATCCATGTCAATGTAAAGGGTAGATATATGAAATAATTTTGTTACAAAAAATCAGCGAAAAATTATATCCATTTTTTTATTTTCAGCCATTTTAGTTAACATTGATTTGTCTATCTGACTCGCTAAATCCACTTTCTGTGGCACGTTTTAAAACCTCTGTCGATAGGATTCCTGTTTTAAGTTATTTCTGTTCAACATCAATTCAGAAAACTCCCCTATGACTCCTGGTTCAAAAGCTCTCCTATTTTCAAAATGGCCGCCATTTTTGTCTCGCGAAATTCACTTTTGACCCATTTCCTAGCTTTACAAATAATTTCAAGTGTCCTACATTGTAAAAATCCATGTCAATGTAAAGAGTAGATGTATGAAATAATTTTGTTACGAAAAATCAGCGAAAAATTATATCCATTTATTTATTTTCAGCCATTTTATAGTTAACATTGATTTGTCCATCTGTCTCGCAAAATCCACTTTTGGACCATTTACCTTAAACCCTCTGTCGATAGGATTCCCATTTTAAGTTAATTTTGTTCAACATCAATACAAAAAACTCTCCTATGACTCTTGGTTCAAAAGCTCACCTTTTTTCAAAATGGTTGCCATTCTTGTTTCGCGAAATTCACTTTTTGCCCATTTCCTAGCTTTACAAATAATTTCAGCTGTCCTGCATTGTAAAAAGCCATGACAATGTAAAAGGTAGTTGTATGAAATAATTTTGTTACAAAAAATTGGCAAAATATTATATCCGTTTTTTTATTTTCAGTCATTTTAGTTAACATTGATTTGTCCATCTGTCTCGCGAAATCCTCTTTTGGACCATTTGCTTAAAACCTCTGTCGATAGGATTCCAGTTTCAAGTTATTTTTGTTCAACATCAATACAAAAAACTCCCCTATGACTCCTGGTTCAAAAGCTTGCCTGATTTCAAAATGGTTGCCATTTTGTCTCGCGAAATTCAATTTTGGCCCATTTCCTAGCTTTACAAATAATTTCAGGTGTCTTGCATTGCAAAAAGCCATGTCATTGTAAAGAGTAGTTGTATGAAATAATTTTGTTACAAATTATTGGCAAAAAATTATATCCGTTTTTTTTTTCAGCCATTTTAATTGACTGAGAGACAGATGGCTTGAAATAATTTTGTAACAAAAAATCATCAAAAAATTATATCCGTTTTTTTTTCTGTCACCATGTGAGCCCAGTACCCACGGTACTAATTTTTTGAGTATGTATGACCGCTAAAATTCATAAATACAAATAGTTGTGTTTCTTGTCTGTTTATCATATTAGAATCATAACTAAGACCTTGATTTTATGATTTATGTAAAATATATTACCTCAAATTTTATTCTGGCCATTGCCAAAGACCTCAATCGCTACACGATTTCGGTCTTTTAACAATGAACATAATAAAATTTTCGGTCATATATTACGCCATAAATCATAAAATCTTGGTCTTTATTTCTTAATTCATACAGGAGGAAGTCCTGGATGAATTTTCCACCTACTAGTAGGTGATAGCTTCGCAGAGTGGGAGGAATGTATTTTTTCTAAATCGTAATGAAATATTATTTTATAGAATTTTTATATGCTCCCTCATACATATAGAGTATATATTGTTTGCTTTATTTATGTGCCATTTAAATCTTGTCATTGTTTAACTGAAGTTTCAAGTATCTAATGAATTTGTCTGAGTAGCTTAGTATATTTTTTTAATTCAAGGTTTGAAGAACAAGAACAAGTAGACCTCTGTTACGTTTGACAACAGGCCTGTAGCCAGGATTTGCCAAGGGGGTTTCATTTTTCAAAAATTTCCAGGGGGGTTCACATTTGACAATTTTGGTCCAAATATGGCTAAAACCACTCGAGAAGTGCTCAAAATGGTGAGAAACTGCATGATTTTGAAAGAATTTTTGGCCGGGGGGGGGGGGGGGTTCGCTCGAACCCTGCAAACCCCCCCTGGCTACAGGCCTGAACAATAACAGAAAGTAAAAACAGCAATTAAAATATATCAATGCACAGTACTATATTTTTTTCAAAACAGGTGATAACAATAATATATAAAATAATCTTAAGTGAACCACCTGTCTCTCTTGATGTCGATAAATATCCTTGATGACCCTTGAAAATGTTCAAGATCACGAAACGTTTCAATAATTGTTAATAGTTCTCCAATGTTTGTAATACTCCAATAATGTACGTCATAATTCTATAATGTTTGGATCCAATAATGTTTGATGATAATCCACAAATGTTTAATGATAATCCACAAATGTTTATGATAATCCAAGAATGTTTATGATAATCTGTATATAGTGTGTGTTGTAATATATGTCCATATAAAGTCCTCAGGTTGTATGTTTGTAGCGTTATAAATGTTCCCAGAGTAGGTGTCCTGTTATGAATGATTTAATTTTCTGCTGCCAGCTCAAATCATCTCTCTCATTATATAGTACAAAGGCAAAGTCCAGACATTTCCCATACTCCTAAGCAGGTGTCCAGAATCTGTACCTTCTTCTTCCCCCCTGCTATAACCAATTTGGAAGCGCCCGATTAAACTGAATCATGTGATCTAATTATGCGCAATGACTTATACATGATTTCTGTCGCAGTGTTGCGACAGCCAATCAGATTGCGAGTTCTTAATCGGGGAAATGCTAACTGCTTAGCGAAGGGGGTAAAAAGGAAGAATATATTCTGGATTTTGAAGCCTTGTGATCGGAGGATGGACGTTTCCAGAATATAATGATTCCTAGAAAGCAACCTGATTGGACATCTTAAGTCACATGATTAAATGATTATAGTTCCAGTACTTTCTAGAAGGCCAAGGGTTAATGAATCATTCAGTTCAGTATAATAATAATGTCATTGTGACCTTGACCTACTGTAATATCTCTAATAAAGATGAGTTACAGTATATGCATATTGATAAACTAAACTTATGTGAATATAATAGGTATATAAGTCAGTACTGTAACAGCTCTCTCTCTCTCTTTCTCTATAATTTTTTATATTGTTATAGTTTCCAATTTTTGTGGATGGCGTTTGATGGTTGGTGTTCAGTGTCTAACAAATGGCAGGTTATTAAGTTTATTCAGTCAAGAGGTTCTGTCTGATGTGGGAGGGGGAGATAATAATCAAATTGAAATCAGCGTATCTGTGACATCATTAAATTATTCTTCTGGTAAAAATTGTAAAATCGCTGCAAAAGTATCTGACGGGCTTGAGTATAAAGGGACCAGATATATTAATCATTAGCATCGATCCCTGAATAAACATGTTTACATTAATAATTGACACCCTAAATGTTATTTACTGCTTTTATTACTTTCTATTACTTATTGCACTTAAAACTCACATTTTCTTAAAATCAAGTACATGTATAGGTTAATAAAATGTAACCATCCCCAAACACAAATCATTGCATTATGGGCACACATTAATCAATATATTGATCTTGACGTTGTCAATTGTCATTTATTTTGAAAGTTGAATAAAATCTATTGTTAGTACCTCAGTGTAAATACTCGCATCTGATTGGTCAATTAGCGGTCAACACTTTTGCCTGTACCTCACTTGTGCATCATGGGATATCATATTATTGACCGCGTATGTAATGTACTACACTTGTGAATTATTAGTCCATTTGTCACCCCTATACATCCAAAAGTGAACCTAGAAATTGTTAAAAGTACGATGTTTTATGGTCGATTCATGATAATAAGGGTTTTCTGAAGTGATTTAACAAAAAAGTTTGTTTGGGGAAAAAATTATATAGGCTGATTTGGGAGGGGTGCAATCGCTTAACATGGCGTTGACTATTGACTTAGCGTTGGGATACCACCATATACCTAGTATGTTACCATGGGAATAGATACAAAATTTTTCCCCAAAGTTATTTTTTTGGCAACCCAGCTAAATCACTCCAATAATCCCTAATGATAGTATTTACGCAGAAAAACATCATACTTTTAACTATTCATACGTTCAGAAAATGACAAATGGACTATATGGGAAATATGACGTCACAATGTTTACAGAAAAAAACATGGTAGTCGGACATTTTGTACACGTTGATGAAAGTGATATTTTGACTTTTCTACACGACGAGTATAGCAACAATACAAATAGAAACGCAAAATTAACATTAATTTACTAGTGAGTACGCAGTTATGTGCCGAAAACAGAGAGTTTAGCTTCCACTCTTCAGATTTTCTTAAAAATGATTGCTGGCGTGGTTCATAGAAAAGATTGTGAAATGAAGCCATGATTGATGACTGTCGTATAATATTATTAGTTTCTTCTGACTAACAAAACAATTGTAGACCTCTCCATTCGGTCAACCCGTCAAAATCATATACCTCGACTGTAAACCTTGAAACACTGTTGACCTCGACCTTCGGTCTCTGTCAACAGTAGTTTCTCGGTTTACAGTCTCGGTATACAATTTTGCCGGTTGACCTCTGGAGAGGTCAACAATTGTATATTGTTAGTACCTCAGTGTAAATACTCGCATCTGATTGGTCAATTAGCAGTCAACATTTTTGCCTGTACCCCACCTGTGCATCATGGGATATCATATTATTGACCGCGTATGTTACTGTACTACACTTATGAATTATGGGGAATATGACGTCATAATATTTACAGAAAAAAAACATGGGAGGCGGACATTTTGTAAACGTTGATGAAAGTGATATTTTGACTTTGCTAGACGACAAGTATAGAGGTCAACAATTGTATATTGTATTTTATTTGTACATTTGTTTATTTCCAGCAATTTGATACTCTCCAAGTATCCCATAGTAAAGTCAACACATCATCTATTGCCGTCCCCACATGGTAAGTGCAGTTACCGTATACAGTGATCTCCCCAGTATTTTTTCTCAAGTGGGTGCAAAATTCTCATTTTCACAATTTAGACCACAATTGGTCAAAATATGCCAATTTTTGATGATTTTTCTCATTTTCAAGTGGGTGCAAATGGATTTTCAGGTGGGAGCAAGCCTATTTTAAAATCTCAGGTGGGTGCTGCACCCACTTGCTTTAATGCTGGAGAGATCACTGGTATATGAAGGGCCTATAGAGAGTAATAAAGATCTTATTAAGATTAAATTCAATTCAATTTATTTATTTCATAATTCTTATATAATATACTGCACTATAAAGCCGCTAGACACCCTAGTGGGTATATGTTGCGGTTTAACAGAAATTCATTAAAATGACATCTAGACTACATATAAAAGAAAGCACTTATATTATGTTACATGTAGGTATATAAAATGGTATTAACAATTACTTGAAGGATGTACAATGTAGAAATGTTACAATAAATCAGGTACCAGTATAAAATCAACAATACAGTATAATATTGGTATTATACATTATCGATAGATGAGTAGTTTTTTATATGAAGATTTGAAAATATTTAGAGTGGAGCATTTTTTAATATCATCTGGTAGAGCATTCCAAAGATTAGGACCTAGGTAGCGAAGGGAAAGTTTAGAGCATTTAGGGATACGAAAATAATGCAACTGTCTTGTGAAATGATGTCTGTCTATTTGAAGTAGATGTTTAATGTGATAAAGAGAACACAAGAAATCTTTGTTTCAACAGATTTTATGTGCTCTTTAAATTTCAGGTTTTTAAAATAATAATTCCAAGGAAGTCAATTTTTTCCCGGAAATTTATGTTCTCATTGGGTGATTCAGATATGTTTGATATCTTTTTGGTCCAAATAGAATAGCATTGGCTTTGCCAATATTAAGTGAAAGTTTGTTTGCTTTTATCCAGTCATCTATTGAACTCAAGTTTGCATTAGTTGTAGTCATAAGTTCATTTAAATTATAATCACTATCAAGAAGATTGGTGTCATCAGCAAACATAATAAATTTTAGATTAGGGGCAACAATAGGCAGATCATTTATGTAAAGAATAAATAATAATGGTCCAAGTACAGAACCCTGTGGAACACCACAATTTAGAGATGATTGTCTTGATTCATTATTGTTAATGGTGACATATTGTTTGCGATCTTTTAAATAACTTTCAAACCAGGACTTAGCTATTCCTCTGATGCCATAATATTCAAGCTTATGTATCAAAATGTCATGATTAATTGTGTCAAAGGCCTTGGAAAAATCTAATGTTATGCAAATGCTTGTTTTTCCTAAATCAGTTGATTTTCGAATTTGTTCAATGAAATATAAGATGGCCATGTAGGTAGAATTGAATTTCTGAAATCCAAATTGATAAGTGAAAATAATTTCAAAACGTTCTAAAAAACCAGTGAGTTTGGTGTGCATGAGCTCTTCTAACAATTTAGAAAATACCGATAAAACAGAAATTGGTCAATAGTTAGAAGAATTTGTAGTGGCACCTTTTTTAAATATAGGTGTTACTTTGGCCAATTACATCTTAAAATTCATACAAGGCCTTATATATTTTCTCATACCATAGTCATATTAATCAAGCAATAGATTTGCTCAGATTATCCCAGAAATTGTGCAAATTTGATCTACTATATAGACATACCAAAATACCATCTCCATGCACATGATTCCTCTCCATACTTGTAATTTTGATAAAATTTTTATTACGTCAACACCATGTGTGTTGACATTCAGGGGCGTAGCTGAGGATTTAGGCAACTAGACGCCAATGTATATGAATGAAAATTTGGTGTGAATTTGCTCTAAAACATTTCCCTATCCACTTATTTGTTATGAACTAACATGTGGTTGGTAAGCTTACTCGGAGGTTTATTTCTCGAAAGTTTGTAAAGTTATTAGTAAGTCCATTGTTGTTTGTTAATTTATTTTAAAACTTGCATTTCTCGAAAGTTAGTAACTGTTTTAGTTTTTACAGAAATTATACTTGTACATCGATCACAGATCATTTTAGTATACAAGAAACTCTTTTAGGTTTGATATCCAACTGAAAGTGTTCAGGGAGAGTCCTACGAACTTACTATAGTCTAGGGTATTAAATGTTCAGAAGACATAGAGAAGTCAGTCTCTCTTCTTTCATTGTTGAACGCATTCCCGGGAGATTCAAGAAGATAAGAGATTAGTGGCAAGGACAATTTAGTGTTTTTAAACGTGAAAAATTGATAAAATACATACTGTATGATAAATTATAATTATGCTACATAGGAAGGTCTTAGTAAAACGAATGGGAGACTTTATGAGGTTCTTGTTTATTTTGTGGTGAATAAGTGATAAGTAAAATAAAAAAATCCCCACTTAGGATTTTCCACTAGACGCCATGGCGTATTGCCATACATTACAGCTACGCCACTGATATTGTTATGGTTTTCAACTATTTATGGACAGTGTTCGGCCGTTGGTGTTTGGCATTTGGTAATTGGTGTTCAGTGGGTGGCATCTGTAATAAATTGTAGGTGGGTGACATTTTACATGTTAATGCCTTGTTTTTAACTACTTACAAAATCTATGATGATAACAAGTATTTACTATGTGATAAGCATTTACAATGTGATGCTAAGTATATTTACAATGTGATGATAAGTATTTACAATGTATTCATCGTATGTACGTATAGGTTATGGAGACCTCATCTGCTTGATTTATTGTAAAGTTTGACTTTGCTTGCACTTGTCAGCCTTGTAGTCGAACCCCCCCCCCCTTCCCTGGCCAAAATTTCTTTCAAAATCATGCAGTTTTTCACCATTCTGACTATTTTTTGAGTGGTTTATGACCAAATTTGCCAAAGTGAACCCCCCTTGGAAAATTCTGGCTACGGGCCTGCTTGTGACTGCACTATATGTGAGGAACACATACAACAAAACAAGATGATTTACTACAAAACTTTCTCATGAAAAACATTGATTATTTGTTTGATTTCTTGTGAAAACTGTGCAATGCCTCTTCAAAATACACATTTTGAATGATTTATAAGTACAATATGATGCTCTAAGCCATATTAACTTTGTCGACAAGATATTTTTATATGGGTTTCCTATACTTTTTGATCATAAAATGGCATGTAAATCACATTTGCCAGTTGTAGATGATCTAAGTATGTTAACACATGTTAACAGTGCATGTACACATTATAAACTCAGTCCTTATGTACAAGAACTCTTCAGTTCTGCATCAATCTTGGTGAGCTATGAGAGAAATGGAAGTACCCCAAAACATACAAAAATGGCTTGTTTACAGATTTTGATAACTATACAGAATTCCTATTAAATTTTGTCTTCAATCATATTAAAGGACGATTCTCGGTTTGGAGAACGAAGTTCATCAATCTAATTGAGCATTATCCCTGCTTCGGACAAATTTGATTTTTTACATAATATAGATTTGAATGTCTTCTTTTGAATAGTCATAAATTAATTTGGGTAATATTTCTAGATTTTTTGCAAAACAATATTATCGCAGTACACTGATGAACTTCTTTCCCCAAATCGAGACTTGTATTTTATTGAATCGGTCTAATTGAGCGTTATCCCTGCTTCAGATCAATTTGTTTTTTTTTATATCTTGTAGATTTAAATGTCCTCTTTTGAATATTCATAATTTAATTTGGGTAATATTTCTATATTTTTCATGAAAAAATTATTAGCCCAGAAGACTGTTCTCCAAACCGAGAATCGTCCTTTAGTTGGGATATGTCACAGGGCAAAAATATTTCGGGACGATAGGGGAATTATCAATTTCAGGACGGGACATTCAGGTCGGGATGGGACATAACCAATAAAATAGTTAATAAGTTTAAAGCAGTTCAACATCTTACATTTTCAGTCTACTTCAGGTTATGCTTATGCAGCGCAGATCTTTTGAACGTCATAAGAGGGCTGCGCATGTTGCGCAAAAACTTGTAATCTGAGATTAATTTTAAGTTGTCACCTTTCTCGCCGATGAAGTTCTTAGTTTGTTATTGTTTAAATTAAAGCATATTTCAACGGGAAACACTGTTATCGATAAAACTGCATGTTCTCATTTGTTCTGCCCTGAATTTTCGTTTATTATAATCACTTATAGTAATTGCCACTAGATGGCATTTACGCATGATTGTAATCCGACAGATAAGTTGTCAAAACGAAAGAAAATTCTAGTTTAGATCATATTTATCGTGCATTTGGGAAGTTTTCGGGTCATATACAGGAGAAATAGTATATCCTAAACATGGACTGAAATCTTCGGTACACAATTGCTGGAAACCGTGACATTCCTAAAATTAAGTATGTAAAATTTCAGGGATTTTGAATAGAAATTGATAATCATAAATAAAAAGAATGTCCTTTTATTTCCAGGTGAGCTTGCTCCCGCTGTCACGGTAACCATAGACTACAGTGGCAGCCATGTTGATTTTGTGGTGACCCATATGGGGAATGACCGAGATGTCCTCGACAGGGAACTACAGGCCAAGTTCCTCTCCAATGAATGCAAGAAGAGGTGAATAAAGGACGATTCTCGGTTTGGAGAACGAAGTTTATCAATCTTAATGAGCATTATCCCTGCTTCGGACAAATTTGATTTTTTTTTAAATAATATAGATTTGAATGTCTTCTTTTGCATAGTCATATTTTAATTTGGGTAATATTTCTAGATTTTTCGCAAAAAAATATTAGCGCAGTACACTGATGAACTTCTTTCCCCAAATCGAGACTTGTATTTTATTGAATCGGTCTATTTGAGCATTATCCCTGCTTCAGACCAATTTGTTATTTTTACATCTTGAAGATTTAATTGTCCTCTTTTGAATATTCATAGTTTAATTTGGGTAAAATTTCTATATTTTTCATGAAAAACGTTTTAGCCCAGGAGGCTGTTCTCCAAACCGAGAATCGTCCTTTAGTTTGCATATATGTGATGTTAAACTTGTACGTGTTTGTTGATTTGAACCTATTGTGGTTTGACTAATATGAATGGCAATCTTTTTTATCAAATTACAAAAACAAAAAGAAGTACAGCAAGACCTGTGTATAGAAGGAGCGATCCATATATTCTGATAAAAATTCCCTCATTTTGTGATTTTTCACATATTCCTCTCATTTTTTCAGAAAATATAGATTATGTAATTACACATACAATGCTAAACTATTATAGCTATATCTAAAATCAATTTTGAGATAAGATTGCCATGTACAGTATATATTTCATCTATGGTGACAAAAAATGTTCACTTTAGGTAAGTGTTCACTATTGAAAGTGGACAGTGGACAGTTGTGTGATAGTGTAGAAGAATATAAATGACATATATAGTACTACGGCCAAGGCGATTTGTGTCCAAAACACCTAGATTCAATTTGACTTTAGATTCTTGTAGGGGACCCCAAGGCATGTAAAAAAAAGTTTGTGAACCCTTGCAAAGCAGGCTCAAAAGTGCTGAGTCAGCAAATTTTATCATTTTCGAGTCAGAGTTTGACCATATGCTTGAAACTATTTAATATCTCATTTGTGGATGATGCAATTATAATAAAGCATTCTTAGTATATCAATAAGGCATGTATGAAGAATTCCTGAAAGTTAAGGTCTTATCCAACAAAATTTGATAGAGATATGGGATAATTTGTCCCTAAAAGTACATAATTTCTCCTCAAAATGTCTTAATCAGTTGATAGTTAATCAGTCATTTAAAAAACAGTAAGGGCCTATGGTGTATAAAACCTGATTAAAAACTTCACTGATGATGTTAGCAAATATTTCTTGCATAAGTTTCAATAAAAAGTGCATGCATCTATTTTTTCTGATTTTTCTCTTTACCTTCCCCTAAAAATTCAAGAAAGGGGGCGTGGCACCTTACACTTCAGTTGTTGAACTTTTTGCTAGGGTCAAATAGAAAATATGTATCATTATAGCAAAAAGTGTTATTCTAAATAAATTTTAACACTATATGTGACATCATAATATGCTAAACATATTCATTATCTATCATTTTATATTTTTTAAAGCTTATCATTGCCATAAACCATAAAACCATTTAAGGTATGTGTGGTCAGCAATTGGAAATACATGTATGTGTACTCATAATATTTTCAAAACTGTATATCGGGTGCCATTCTTTCCTAATGTTGTTCATGTAGTTATAGTTTATGTTTACGAATGATAGCACTTCCCATCATAAGTTTGGCAACTCAAACACCTTTGAATCACTTATTAAAGCCTGTTTTTTTTTGGCATATGAAATCGAAATATCTGAAATATGGTAATAAGGAACATAATCAAGGTTTAAACATTGACAGACTTTGATATGCTATCATATAATAACTTCCAGTTGCCAAACTTATGGAGGGGTGTACATGCTTTATAGTATAGGGTCCATGTAAACTGCAACAAGACTCCTATTGTTGCTGCAAATAATTAGCTATATAATAACAAATTGTAACACCAAATGATTAAGAGCCAGAGTTTCTCAGAGCCTGGTTGCAGTTTGCACACTTCATATTGCATATATGTCATAAATTGCTTAGTTGTAGTCTGTAGAACATAACAAGATGTGTATGTTTTGTTTATGTCAAAATAATACATCGTGTCCATAGGCTTAGCCAGGGGGTGCAATGGGATCGCACCCCCCCAAAAAAAAAACCAATAAAAATATAACCATGAGATTGAAGAAGAGTTTTAAAATGCTTTTTATTTTAAGCTTCTAGCCCTATTTTGAAGGAAGTTGAATCAAGATTTGTAAAATTCAAGATAGATCTTAATTTTTCGCTTTTTTATGCCACAGTCACATCCCCCTGACTAAAAACCGAAAAAATTTGGCGATCTAACCCCCACTGAACCAAAGCTGGCTACACCCCTATTGTCCCTAAGGAATTGCAGATAATGTTTCACTGCTAGTCTAGCACCCGATACTTCACATAGTATCAAGGGAATTGATTGTACTTTGTACAGGAAACAATTGTATCCCTGGCTGTAGATAGAAGAGTTAAGAAGCCCCAGCAAAGAAACCTCCTTTGTATTTACAGGGTGTCAAATAAGTCTGTTCTCCCCCCTTAACTTTTTTATCTTTAAATTTATCATACTTTCCCATATATCATTTTGAAGCTCATGGAAAATGCTGATCACACTCAAAAAATCAATCATAAACTCCTCCTAATAAAATTGCTACAATGTTTCTTGTGAGGTTGTAGTTGACCTTTGATTACGTCAAAACAAGTAAAATTACCAGGTATGGTGAATGAAAAGTGAAAGGTTGGTACTGCAGTGACAAAGCCAACATTGGGTGATTTTGATATTTCTCAATATCATTACAGAGTAAATGTGTTACATTCAGGGGAGCCTTTGAAGCAGGGGCATCTTTCATCACAAAATAGTTGATAACACTTAAAATTAAACGTTCTGAATGATTTATACGGGATCATATCCTCATAGAATTGAGGCCATTCAGGCTGCTGGGGGAGACATACAGACTATTCAAAAAGTGAAATATGGACATCACTAAAAATACTCTAAAAAATTGGAATTTAACCAATCACTCTGAAATTTGGTATATGATCAGCAAATTAAATTCCCTTTAAGATGATATATACCAACCCTATGTTATATCTGAATTAAAAAAGTTAAGGGGGGAGAACAGACTTATTTGACGCCCTGTATGCACCAAAACAGAGAAATAGTTTTTTAAAATCTCAATATTGGAATCAATTTCACTTTCACTTTATCTTTTAGCATCTCTTTCAACCAGTCGAGTATTCTTGATATTTATGATAAACTCTTTCTGATGTCATAAGTCATCACCTCCATAGTCAGTATTTAATGGAGCTTATTATCATCTTTGACTTCCATGTTATTATACAGTTGGAGCAATTGAAACCTTGAGAATCAAGATGGCTAATTATCAGAATTTTCAATCTAAATGGGTTCTCATTTGCTTCTACCACCTTGATTATGCTTTGTACAGATGACTCATTATTCCTGGAGCAGCATGATCGACAGTAAGTGTTACGCGGTATATGGCATACATTCATGGTTGCGCAGTATATGTGATACAGGTGAATATGCCATACTCACCTGCGGTGATATTTATGATAAACTCTTTCTGATGTCCTGCGGTGTATGGCATATTCTGCTGGTGAGTATGCAATATTCCCCATTGAATATGCGATACATTGATTTCAGTGAATACTCCATACTCACTGGCGGAATATGTCATACTCACTTGCGGAATATGCCATATACCGCAGGTGAATATGACATATACAGCTCTAAATGTCCTGAAGATCCTATGGATTCTGGAGTAACATGTAATCATGAATTAAATGCAGGAGAAAAAGTTTATTTGAAGATATTATGAATGGCACTGACCAGCTCAGTTTGTGTAAAACTAAAATATCCGTAGCAGACAAGTGAAATCGGTCCAAATAATCACGCTCTTACAAAGTTTTGACAACTTTTCCTTTTTAACGATTTGATGGATGTAAACAAAGGAAGTTACTTCGCTAAAGCCTAACATACACCAATACGGCATGGTGGGACCTCCATTGATTTAACATTGGGTGGGACCTCATGGAAATCCGTTGGACTTCATTGAGCTTTGCCCGATGGAACTCCTTGGGATTCCTTGGGATTTACCCCATGAAGCCCCATTGAGTCCCATGAGATTCGATGGGGTATCATTTGGCGAAGTCCCACTGAGAATGAACCTATTCATTCTTTCCATTGGGCATCGCAGGACTTTTGATCATGGGATGTGTCAGCTAACTTGAAATCAAAATGACCTTGACATTACCTTCTAAACTAAATTACATCATTTCCTAGGGACTTTGTGGGATATGGAGGGACTCGATGAGACTCCATGGGGCAAAGTTAACAAGGTCTCTTGGGACATTGTGGGACTCGATATGACATGGTGGGACTTGATGGGGCGACTGGGATTCTGCACCATTGGAATGTTGGCCTTAAGACCAAACTCGCTTAATGTCACATATCATATAAGTAATGTCAACAAACCCAGTGCCACGGAATTGATCACTGTCTTTGAGAGAATGTAAAGCACTTTTATTTCCTTTGGCTTCAGGTTTCTACATATGATTACATATTAAGGTCTGTCAATGTTTGAACTTTGATTTTGTTCCTTATTGCTTTATTCCAAAAGCTTGATGTCTTGTTTAAAATTGCCAAACAGCATGACAAGCTTTAATAAGTGATTCAAAGGGGGACTTCCAGTTACAAAACTTATGATGGGGAGTTCATTCTTAACATACATGAACAACATTAGGATAGAATGGCATCTGAAATACAATTTTGAAAAATGTTATAAGTACACACAGATGTATTTCCTATTGCTGACCACACATACCCTAAACGGTTTTATGGGGTATAAGCTGTAAAAAATATAAAATGGTAGATAATGAATATGTTTAGCATATCATGATATCACATATAGTGTTAAGATTTATTTAGAAAACACTTTTTGCTATAATGATACACATTTTCTATTTGACCCTAGCAACAAGTTCAACAACTGAAGTGTTATGTGCCACGCCCCCTTTCTTGAATTTTTAGGGGAAGGTAAAGAGAAAATTCAGAAAAAATAGATACTTGTACTTTTTATTGAAACTTATGCAAGAAATATTTGCTAACATCATCAGTGAAGTTTTAAATCAGGTTTTATACACCATAGGCCCTTACTGTTTTTTAAACGACTGATTAACTATCGACTGATTAAGAAATTTTGAAGAGAAATTATGTACTTTTAGGGACAAATTATCTCACATCTCGACCAAATTTTGTTGTTTAAGACCCAAACTTTCAGGAATTCTTCATACATGCCTTATTGATATATTGACAATGTTTCATTATAATTGCAACATCCTGAAATGAGATATTAAATAGTTTCAGGCATATGGTCAAATTCCGACTCAAAAATAATAAAATTTGCTGACTCAGCACTTTTGAGCCTGCTTTGCAAGGGTTCACAAACTTTTTTTTACATGCCTTGGGGTCCCCGACAAGAATCTCAAGTCAAATTGAATCTAGGTGTTTTGGACACAAATCGCCTTGGCCGTAGTACTATATAGGCCAATGTACTCTCCAGGAAAAGGACACATAGAGATGACAAAGTCATTTAGACATTGAGACAAGGAATGAACAATCATCCCATCAACAAACTTTTCCTAAGACTAACGTTTAACCAATATTGTATTGTAAAATGTATGTTTACCATGTAACTGTATTGTAATTGTTTTTTGCAATTGCTTTAACATGCTTTTTCTTTGAAATGAAAACAATTAAAAAAAACAAAAACTTTTTCTGAAATGTTATCCCTATTTTCACTCTTTGTTGCAAAGTTTGAAAGTTATGTTGTATATTGAGGCATGATTCCCCTCTTAAAAGGGAAAATTTATTCATTTAGGAGTTTTAAAGATATCAATTATGGCCTGGGTGAAAACAATGGATAGCATGAGTTTTCTTATGGGAAAATAACATGGAGAATATTGTTTCCCACTTTATTTTGTGAGCTTGTTCTATTAATAGAATGGTTTGAAACTAAAATAATTTGGGATAATAACATGTGATCACCACTTGACTCTGCATAATAATTCAATTGCAGTAAAAATCCAGTTGTGTTCCTTGGCTATGTGACATCATCACCTGGTAGTCGTGACTACCGCAAGTTGATCAATGGCGGAAATATGAAGGATATTGATGATAGTGATAATGACAGATGGTGCGAGTACATCATGTATAGAGGACTAACCAGGTAGGTAGTTAATATATAGATGTTATTATGAGACATGCTGCCATCTATTGGGCGATGTAGCTGGTAAAATCATAGTCCGACGCAAATCAGCTTTGAGAAATATGTTGAATATCACATATAGAAGTACCTATGGCCTTCAACCCTAAATCTACCCTTGACCCTGAATTTGTTGATATTATCAACAAATATCAAGAACTTCAGAGTCCTTTATAGGGCTACTCTAACCCTTAACCCATAAAGAGAAATGGAAGTTCATTCGGCCATCTCCAGTTGTTTGTTTAATTCAACCAAAAGAGGTCAGGATTTATACATTAACAGAAGTTTATTGATCAAAGTAGTGTTGGTGAAATTAATACTGACAAATGATAAAGATGCAGAAAGTAGGAATTCAATATGAATATCATCTTAATCAAGTATGAACCTGCATGATTTTGTTAATATAATATTTACTACATATACTGCACCTGCAGAACAATAAAAAGGCAATTTTCACAAATTCTGAATTTTCAAATAATTTCAGATTTTTCTCCATTCATATCAATGATAAAACTGTTAATTTATGACATGTGAAATTCACCAAAAATAAGTGGAATCATTCAGTGTTATATACATGTGTAACAACCCATGGGCACTTGTCTGGTGAGCTGTACTAGACATGAAAGGGAGTGTGCTAAATTCAATGCCTCAGAGGGGAATTGAACCCAGGCCCCTCTGCTCACAAGTCAGATGCTCTACCCCTGAGCCATAAGGGCTAGCAACTACAGCTGAGACTGTAGAAGCGACTTGGTATCGAGGGTCATTCCATATGTACCACCATATCAACAATTTTATTAATATGGTATTATTGATCTGCCCCACAGATGTTATTTATCAAATATCAATACATTATCATAATATCATAGAGGTAAACAACCTTGTTGAATTTCAATTGTTATCAAGCAAAAATATACATCAGTGGAACATATCTCTTAATAATAACATACACTCCCCTCCATAAGTTTGGCAACCTTAGCTCCCCCATTGAACTACGTGTTAAAGCCTCTTTACGTTTGAATTTTTATTTACTTATTTACTGAAAGAGGCGTTAACACGTAGTTCAATGGGGGAGCTAAGGTTGCCAAATTTATGGAGGGGAGTGTAATATCTTAACAGTCTGATTCTCAAAATGTTTTCAGAATAAATAAAGTTTATAATTTTATATTGTTGTTGGGAATTTTGTTTTCTGATATGTTTTAGATGTCTTTTAGGATCACGTGTACTTTGGATGTTAAATTCAAATGCAATAAAATATCAATATTTAACTATACAAAATAGGTAGTTCCCCAATAACCATTGGTGAGCAATACCTCTTGGGTATATCCCATTTATATAAATTGTCATAATCAATGCATGAAATCTGGAAGGCAAACCCATGAACTACTCCTTGGAGGAGCCCTGTGTTCTTTTATGTGCACTCAAACATAGTCATACAAGTACACATCACAGCCTCTTGTATGAGTTGTGGACCATTCCTTCATACACCATGAAGTACTTGCACCAACCGGGAACAAGTAAATTAAGTCTTGCCTGAACCGAGGATCGAACCTAGGACCTATTGCATAATTGGTACACACGCTACCGCTGAGCTATACAGGTGATACTAAAGTGCAACTATCACAAGAGTGCAATAACCTATAATGCTCACAAGTACCTGCTGACATCCAAGAATCAATGTGCAATTTGATACAAATTGTAAAGAATACAAGTTACTTGGCTACTTGATGTTGCTTGCATCATATAACAATATATCAATACCATTCAATCAATAGACTAGATGCGAGTAGAAATAATCTTGATTTACGTCATTAAAAATTCACAATTCAGTCAAACTGATGTCATATTTGGAATCTACTTGTAAAGTTACATCTAAAAATGTGGTTTTGGAAAGAGTTTATCAACTTTGAAAATTTAATTTTCTTTTCTTTGAAAATGTGACTTCTAGGTCGGGGAGATTCCCCATAGACCCCACATTGTAAAACCACGAAAAGTGAAATATCTTTTCTTGTGTTGGGGAGATAATATTTATTTACTGGACATATTTTAATTTTATAACTATCAAATACATAAAGGTAATATGAAAAGTGAACCACTAAAACTGATGAATATTCAAGTTAACCTCTTGAAAACCAGCCTCTAAAAAGGGTTTGAAACCAGAGCATTTTTCATTTTCTGCTAGTTTTCTGGATATTTCCATCTAAAAGCACAATGTTTAATATTTGATTTCATGAGAATATTAAACATAGGCCTATTACATATATTCTAATACATAATTTGTGAAGATTGGATAAAAAATGCCAAAGTTAGAGCAGTTTTAGTGGAAAATTCTGTGACAGATATATCTGTCGTTCTGGGTTCCAAATGGATTTTATTTGTGACAGATATATCCGTCATTCTGGGTATTCAAGAGGTTAAAGGGAATTTTGGTATACCCTACCATGTTATTTCCCCAGAATCAGCTGAAAGAGTGTCCGAAATACAAGTTTTGTTTAAATAGTATATAGTAGAAGTTAATATGATAATTCATGTGTAGTTATTTTTCCATTTATTGTATCGTAGAATAAATTGTTCATCTAATTCTCAATATATGGATTTTGCCTCTCTGTAAATCTCTCGAATAATATGCCATGCCAATCATTTTTTTAACTGAAAAATAGATTGCAAAGAGAAAATTCAAGAAATAAACTACATAGGGATATAGATTAGACTTTAGACAGTCTAGAAATCCAAGAATATTGCAGACTTCATTCAGGAATTGAGAGGAATTGTGTGAAATGCATGGACCAAGGTGAACTTATAAGTGATTGTTTGTTTTGTATGTGTTGTCAAGAGAAAATGTGCCACCAATCGTTATTTATTCTTGTATTTCTTTAGAGTTCATGTCATATTTTGTTTTATATTTGATTGAACTGATTGAGGTTTATGTGCATATATGATCTTGGTGGTAAATAATGCCGACGCTGATAAGTTCACTGACTCGGTTTTAATTTACAATGTATGCATTTGCAAATGTTTGACATTTTTTAACATGTATTGATCCAATAGCTTGGAACATTAGATCTTCAGGCACCTAAACTTTTTCAATCAAATACCGTGTGGGGCTTAAAATACTTTTGGGTGTCTTATTTAAACAGGAATAATGTCTCTGTCTTTGTGTACTGAAATACTGAGGTATGGTTCTCCAAATATCAGAAATAGCTCAATATTTAAAAATGGATGAAAACCTTGGCCTGGGTTTTCCAAAGGGGGATCAATTTTTCTGCATTTACATGGTGAATGATTTTCAAAATATTGTTACAAGCACCCATCTTTAATTTCCGTATCATGTCCTTTGGTTCCCCTTATTGTGCACGTTTAGCATTTGGTTGATATTTAATGACAATTTAATGGTGAAATAATCATTAATACACATGTTTCAGACTTGGTTATGCTAGAATCTCACATGGAGGTCTAAGTGATACAGAGGTCCAAATAGCAAAGTTCCAAATCCCAGAAGATCCAAAGAAATATAAAGACAATTCAAGACTCACAACAGATGAAAGCAAAGTGCCAAAGAAAGTGCATTTTAATAAAAAGTAAGTGAAAAATAAGTTTTATATATCATGAACCTTTCCAAAAATTTCATTTCGCCACTTTAAACATGTAAAAGAGGGCTTCATTTACATTATTTGAGCTGAGTTGATTTTAACCAATCAGAATACTCAGAACATGGTCAATCAATCAAAATCAAAATAAAATTTCAATAAATAGCCAAACTGCAAAATATGCTGCCTGATATATAGCTTAGCCTGTAGTGCCCAAATCTGCGATTGGCAAGCTCTTCTGAACGCAAAATTGCAATTGAAAAATAGATATAGATTATTAATAAAATAAATAGTCAACAACCCAATCAAAATAGCATTTCTTTTCTACTTTAGGCTGTAACATAATTTCAAACTTTACATTGGGCCTTTAAAGGCTGTGACAGCTTTTTTTGGGGTTGTTTATTTAGTTCTCATCAGCATCAAAGAGTATTTATTTCTCATATTCTAACTTACATTGTTTCATAGCAATCAGAAATTCCACAGCATGAATAATTTAATACTTATTATTGATCAATGTACTTTACTTTTATTTAGAATAAAAGGTTTACAGAAGACATGGTTATCATCAAGGTCTGTATTTGATTCATATTGGAAATCATTTTATTTACTTCTTGTGAAAAAATGTGGAAAGATTTATTTCTATTTCAGATTTGGTCCTTTAAGGCATGGCCACAATTGGTTACAAGAACATCTATTCCACATGGGCACCCCCAAGTACTTTATTCCATAAAACAATTTTTGTGTTAATAATATACGAGCTTATGTGGATATTCACGTTTATTTTGACAAGTGTAAAACTGAATCAATGGACAATTTCCCTTGAATGAGAAGTGATATGAGTCTAAGACAATTGACCGAGAAAGCACAAGAAGGCCAAGTGATTCACCATGGCAAAAAAACACAAGAACTAATTCTGAACAATTCAAGAATAGTTCATGAACAGATTCTTGAAATGGTGATCAAAGTTGGGGAAACAAAGAAATGTGGCAGCTAGAAATTCACCAAATTAATTCAAGTTATTGTATCTTAAAGTTATAGGAGTAAAAAAGGATCGTGCTTATATGCAATTGTATCATTACATTCCAGTTCATGAAAATCTATGTACAGCGGTGACTAAACATACATCATATACTTGTATCAATTTCCTAAAAGTTTTTGTACATTCAAGTTTTATTCATGAGATTAAAATTTAAACTGACCAGTATTAATCATAAAATAGTGAAACTTTAAAGCACAAAAATTAAATGACCGTTGCCCTTAGAATAACATACATTAAAAAAACAATTAGGAGTGATTTTGAGAAGATGTTTATGGTTGTTTGATCAATCTGCATTTCGGTCTCACTGGAACCGTTATCATTTCCATGGAAAGAAATCATAAAATAAATCTGTTAGATTTATAGTAATTTTAGCACGCACTTCTTAAAGCTCCATATACCCCCATTTTTTCTGCATCTCTAGTTTTAGAGAATGAGGATGGAACGGGGGTGGAGACACGGGACTTGATGCTAGAAAAGAGTAATTTAAATGTATTGTTGCAAATTATATACAGGGTGGGCCAAAAAAACAATACCCAAGTTTAAAGATGTATGATTCATATGATATATGTTAAACCATTCCATACTTATATTTTTAGCTCCACAAGAAAACAACGGTTTTTCAATCAGGTGATGTCATTTTGTAAAGCAATGATTTATCTTTAAGATGATATACAATACATGGCACGGTTTAACGTTATATCATAAGATATTCATCCTTAAACTTGGGTATTGTTTTTTTTGGCCCTGTATATGATGATATAACTACAGAGATGCTTGCTGAACTGAATCAATCAGAGGAATCTGAATTTTTCATCTCATGCAATATTTCAACTTGTGTTTTTCAATGTTTTGTGTTAACAGTGATTACAACTGTTATTTGAAAAGTATGTGTGATTCGGATAAACTAATGAAAACTTAATGCATTTGTAAATCAGCTTTCTGATCCCTGCTTCTGGGGGCGGTCCCATTTTTTCCTCCCATTGACTCCCATGTTAAAAAAACCTTGAAATCTGAACACCTTCTAATTTGAACAGTGAACAACCAGATTTGAAAAAGTGACCTGTCTAATCTGAACATTTTTATCAGAAATCAAACGTCTTAAAATTTCAATTATAGCCAAATATTGAGTCAATGCTATAGTTGTTATTTATCTTTACATATACAATGTAATCAAAGAACCAATATTGTCCTAACTAACTTATTTAGTCTCAGTGACATCCCTAATTTGTGGAAAACAACAGGTTGTTTTGGAAAGGTGTGAATACAGGAGTTAATTGGTTTATCCTTATTGTAAATTAACTGGATGTTTTTGATTTGGATTATGAACAGGTCTTGACTGTTTTATATCCCATGGGTCTGTTATGATAGCTAAGATTCAATCAGCAAATGTTTTATAATCACAAGGACAACAAAGACGACATTTGCAGACAAGATTTAGAAAAGAACTGAATGTTTTTGATTTGGATTAAGAGAAAGGTGAGAATCTGGGAGATAATTGGTTTATCCTTATTGTAAATTAACTGGATGTTTTTGATTTGGATTATGAACAGGTCTTAACTGTTTTATATCCCATGGGTCTGTTATGATAGCTAAGATTCAATCAGCAAATGTTTTATAATCACAAGGACAACACAGACGACATTTGCAGACAAGATTATATCACAAGAAAGAGAAAAAATTCAACTTTGTAATATCCTATCACTAAAATGTCTCCTAAAAGGCATACATCTGACATCCTGAATGCCCTTGATATTTTGAAGGATTATACATCATCTCGAATCAACACTCATGAAAATTCTTTTTACTTGAAGAGGATATCTACTCAAATATTGCTAATGCTAAAAGTGCCAAGAAACAAACAACAATGAAGGACTTTTTCAAGCAAAAGTAAAGCAGTGCTATATTACCATAATATGGGATAAGTCATTTGATAAGCATAAGATTTCATACGAGACTATCATATACTTTTACAGTGTATTACAAAGTTTTTGCCAAAACATAAGAGTTATTTTTACTAAAACGATGATATTGTTCAAAATATAAATAAAACATAGCATATAGGCTATATGACTATTGTAGAATTAACTCATCAACAACATTTATTGTTTTCTGACTTAGTATTAAGTGTTCAATATAGTGGACTGAACAATGAAAATCCCCCCCCCCCCCCGACCAACAAAATCCTCGAAATTTGAACACCTGCCAATTTGAACGCTTTTGGCTGGTCCCATGGGTGTTCGGATTAGACAGGTTTTACTGTATATACAATCATATATGATATTGGAATGCTATTTTTGATTTTCATCGGACCATTAATATTACTGTAATGTTCATTCACAGACCAAACATTTTAGTCTAGATGAAAACAAAGGATTTATCACTGAACCTTGTTTTGGAGTATGAACAGTGTTTTATTGCATTTTTTGATAGTTAGACATGTCCTGTTCAAAAAGCCACAAATATGCAGTTGTGGTAGGTTGAGCATTTTTTCTATTGTCTTTTTAAAATTATGTAATATTTCTGAAAGTGGGCGTGGCACATTTGGTAGAATTCATGTATTTAAATGGTGTTTTATAATTAAATATCCCTTATCAATTATTTTTGTTTAATTTACTTACAATTGTGCATATCTACCTGTGAACATTCTCTCTCTGAAAAATATCAGTCTTAGCTTGTATTGGCGAATGCAACTAAAGCTGTCGGCTACCGGATTAACCTACTATTTTATGGGCATATACATGGGCATAAACATATACAAGTATTTCATAACTTCAAAATATTTCCATTTGTTTTTGTCACTAGTTTGTCCATATGAGCCAAGACTCAGCACGATTAAATATTGATCATAAAAAAGTATAAAAACCTATCATTCAGACTTGAATTAAATGGCCAATTAGTATAACTGTAATATTCTGAAGAAATGATTTTGCTCCCAGACACCCTGCTCTTGTTATAGATACGAACTGCACTAATTCACAACATACATTGTATATGAACACAGTAAATGGTTGAATCCTATCTATTCATTTGTTTGCGATAACCTGTGTGGCATTTTGTCTTGCTAATGTTGCAAGATTATCTTTTTAATGTAAAGTTGGCATTTACTTTTCTCATTTATTAAATACATCGTTGCTTCATTGTGAATTAGTAACTTTTCAGAAAAAAATTATTATCAAGAATTGAATTAAATGGGCAAGTACTATGTTTTAATATTCTGATGAAATGATTATGCTCCTAGACATCCCGCCCTTGTTTTAGATTTGAATGGGAATTAAATACTACGCTACATAGGTATACATGAACACAGTAAATGGTTAAATCCATTCTCATACTCATCACATATTTCTGCCTTCAACAAGAAATATGAAGGTCATGATTTCTCATGATGGGCTAAATCTTACCTAATTTAATTTATGAACTTTTGGGAATTTTTGACAGGGGGTTCGCAGGAACCCCTCGAACCCCCGTTGGCTAAGGCAATGACATGTTTTTTACTCTGCATATTTTGCTGTCACATTTTGGGCACAAACCATCTAATAAGGGCGCCTTCCCATCTGATCATCATAATAAATTAATAATTACCCAACATACAATTCTACTGATTTTTTCATAATATCTTTAGATCCAGCTACTGAGAATTTGAATATTCTACCTGATGCCTTTAAAAAGTTTTAGAGAAAAACTTAACTGTGAGGGCCTTTTGTACACCCCCCACTTAGAGGATCTAGGGCCAATTGCTAATGAGTTAATTAGCTAATAAATCCATATTTTGCATACAAGATTTCAATTGTTTATATTAGGCTTACTGTTACAATTAACAATATTGAAAGCTTAAGACTTCTTTGCTATTTTGATGAAGTATTTTGCTGACATCAGCATATTATATTTCGAATAAAGTTGACATCTTCGTTAAAAGAGTAACCTTGTTCTTTAAACTGTTAAAACATTAAGTTTTGACCATTTAAGTCCAAATATATGGTTGTAAATTGATTAGATATGTAAAATCAATTAAAATGAGAAAAATAACTATTACCGCTGACTCAGTACTTAATTACGGCATTATTTTTTATCAGTTTCAAGGTTCAGTTCAAAGTTAATCATGTAAATGTGACATGAAATCGCTAAAACCATGTAAAAGCAAGTATATAAGTTCTTAGAATTAGATTCTTAAAATCCCTACTTATGGAATATTGTAAATTCTGCTGACCTTGCAGAAAAAAATTGCTCACGGTAATATAACTGCATATTTGTCAAATCTTCATCAGAACACTTCAGGCAAACATATTATGCAATAAAATATTGTATATACTCCAAAACAACCACCTCTTGGCTTTCTTCTAGACTATTTAGAAGGGAGATAAACATTATAGTAATATTCTATCCAAATTAGTGCAAACAAGTTATAAGAAGATTGTGAAAGTGTTTTTAATTATAAGTTAAATTATAGAAGATGTACACCATCCTTTAAACATGTACAGGTGATTATGTAAATTATAGAAAAACTTGCCTTTAGGCCATAATTTTATACAAGTTGTACAATTTTCACACGCCATGCCTTGAATTTAGTAAAATAAATGTATAATCTTATACAACCCAAAATATGCCTAGTCTTTATGTCATTAAGAAATGGTGACGTATTGTTAAGACCTTGATTTTCGCAACTGGCATCGACATGCATCCTTTTGGACAGTCAACTTTTGTCAGTATTTTCTTTTTTCCTGCATAAAAAGTAGTCATTGAGTCTCAATTTAGTTTAAAATATGTAACATGTGTTTTATTTTGACGTCTACTCCTATAATGCCAGTTGAAGAGAATTTAAAAAGTGAATAAAACTGAATAAGTTGCTTTCATTTTTGGTCAGTTTTACAGTAGGCCTACTGGAACACCATCAGTTAACTGGATATTGTCATTTTACTTTTAATGATTATTTTTTTCTCTAAAAGGTCTATTCATTCTTTTGATTATCCAATGGCACTTTAAATGCATTACTTTGCCTTAACAGAAAAACAAACTTTCAAAGTTTTTTTAAAAGTATTTTATTTCAAAAGATCAACCAACATGTAAATGAAATGTTTACTCCAACAATAATTAATAATAAATATTCAACAGTAATTGTAACCATGGAAATACAAATGATTGTTTAAAACTGAGTAACTATGGTTACTATGGTTACAGTATCATAGAGAATCCTGCAAAGATCTGAATTGATTTATTAATTCCTAATTCCTTTTATCTTGTGTATTTATTGAATAACATTATACTAGTATCACTGCCCCCAGGATTCCTTGTTTGCA